TTCAGCATTCTGGAAAAATAATCAAATACTAATGTAAAAATTGTTGGGGGTAAGGGGTCTTCTTGCTTGATTCCTCTGCCTGCACTAAAGAAAACAAATGAGCTTCTATTGAGGAGGATATTATACTTGTTACAAGCTAGGGGCTTCAAAGCTAAAAACCGTTATATTGCAATATTACAAAAATTAGTTTTGAATCCCTTAGCCTTCAAGATTTTAATTAGGAAATTTCAACTAATAGAATCATGTCTTTCTGATATCCAATTTAGTCATCGTATTTTCTCTTTTGCACTTTTTATCAATGTTATAAAGTATTTCTTGTACCAACATGATGTTGTCAGTGGTCCCTCTACCTTGATTGAAAGCAGATTGATTCTTTGATATTAAGATATTCAAATGAGACTGTAACCTCCTCATATTAGTTTTGCTAGTTACTTTGGATATTGCTGAGGTATGGGAGATGGGTCTAAAATGCTCCGAAGATGTTTTCGGATTAATTTTTGGAATAAACACTAACAGCAGTAGGTATTTTCTTCAGCTTTTAGTACTCTATCATGAACATCACCAGAAATCTCTCAGTTCCAAGATCTCAAAGCAGCAACAACTTTTTTGTGAAGTTTCCGAAGAGTATACCAAGCACTCCCAAATTCAATGCATTTCCAATTTTCAGCAACAACTCTTAGATTATCGTCATCTTTGGACCACACATTCAAGTACTTGAAATGATATTTAGAAATTTTCTAGAAAAAAGTTAAAAGATATAAGCAAAGGATTATGATCAGAATCAGAGCTACATAAATGTTGTACTTTAGAGAAAACATAAGAGGATAACCAATTCTGATTTGCCAAACACTATCCAAACGTTTAAAAAACTTTCCTCTCTTCCATGTATATTTGGAGTCATGAAAACCTAAATCACGCGAACCAGCATCAGTCATAGCCCCATAGAAATTATTCATCAAAGTTGTGTCAAATCTTTTCACCTTCTTAATCCTTCCCTCCATACTTGGACTGCATTTCAAATTCATGTCTTTCCTGTCCACTATTTTTTAATCCTTGCCTATTTTTTATACTTACCTAGTCTAGCATCTACTCCCATCTTGTTTATAATTGTTGTGTGCTAATTGGAAAAGGGGAGTTTTTATGTGTGGATTTTTTAGCCTTGCCTTTTGATGCGTTCTTCCCTTCTAGGGGTTGTATCCGACAGCGAAAAGGTGCTCTGGCTGTAACTCGTCCGAGGTGGTGAC